AAAAAAATGATATCCAAATATTCATAAAAGTACATTAATGGCAACAGGTTAAGTGAGGTTAGCCTATCACGATATGACAGAGAGTTACCAACAATGAATTTAGTGGACCTGCGCTGAATCCTCTCTAGAGTGACAATGTCCTTTATGAACATAGGGCGCCACACAGGGGAACAGTAAGTGATCTGTGACCGGACAAGAGAGATGTAAAGGAGTCTTGTCTTAAGTACTCTTGAATAACAATAATACTAACACAATATCAGATTATTAAATATAATATAACACTTTAAACTATAGTCTATAAGTTCTGGTTGAGAAACAAAATGATGTCCACATTCTTTGGTGAGATACGATTTCTTCTTTCAGAAACTAGGACTCCTGCCTGGGAAAAAAGTCTTTCAGAAGGGACAGATGAACCTGGAATGCATAAATAACGTCTTGCTAGCACTTTTAACAATGGGAAACGACAGCTGTTTTCTTTCCACCATTCAAGAGGATCTTTATTTCTACTAATGACGGCTTCCTCGAAGTATCTCCTGACTTCTATAGTTGCCTCAACAGTAGAAGTTCGATGAATTTGTGACTCCTTAGCCTTTTGGTCAAATGAGTTCCAAATACTGTCAGTTGAGGCCTCTTCCATGTCAGGTGACCTAGAATCCTGATCAGTTGAGTTGATTGATGGTTCGGGAACAACCGTTTGTAACTCTTGTGTTATTCTGTTCATTGTGTGGCTAAGGGCTGTCTTGTCAGCGAAGGAAATTTTTTTAAAACGCGGATCAAGTAGAGTGCTAACTGCTGTGACATAGTGGGTCTCAATAGACGTAAACCTGTTATTCAGTTCTGAGTTCAGGGATCCAGCAAGTACTGAGGAAGGATTGGCTCTATAAAGTGAGCTACAGTGCTGTTGAAGAATTTTCGTTAAAGGAACTATCATTGAAATAGAAACATATGCTTGCCCTGATATGTTCTCTGTGGCTTCTAAAAATGGCTTTAATAGTTGCAGTGCTCTAGAAATTGTGTCCTTCTTGTCAGCTTTCAAGCAAAGATCATTTTGATTCACCAAACAGAGAGTCATTGTTATTGCTTCAAATTGCTCGTAAAAACGTTCAAGCATGATGTAAGTTGAATTCCAATGAGTGGAAACATCTTGTATCAACTTGTGCTCTGGGAGTGAAAGTTGGCGTTGGATCTCTCCTAGCTTCTCTGTTGATTTAACACTGCGATGAAAGTGTGAAACAACATTTTTACACTTTGTTTGTATTGCAAAAAGCTCAGGATCACTCTTGATTGAGTTCTGGACTACAAGATTTAGAGAGTGTGCAAAGCATGGTAGATGACGCCAACGAGTTGATGAAATAGCAGCCACCATGTTAGCAGCATAGTCAGTGACCACACATACTATTTTATCTTGTATGTTCCAGCTTTCAACAACTCGTTGTAACTCTATCGAAATATTGGCTGCTGTGTGATCCAAGCAGAAATGAAAGGTTTCCAAAAGGTATGACTTCAGCTCCCAGTCTCCATTTATTAGATGAGCTGTAACACAACAGTAGGATTTTGTTTGGCATGATGTCCATATGTCTGTGGTAAGAGCAACAGAAGTAGCAGTGTTCATCTCTTCCTCAATCTTTGCTTTCGTACTTTCATACTTCTTTGGTAGAATTTCTCTTGTTATTGTACGCCGACTAGGAACTTGATAACGATTGTCAAGCACAGTGACCAGTTTCTTAAAACCAGCATCTTCAACTACAGAGGTAGGTTGCATATCTTTGCAAATAAATTCAATAACTGCATCATCTATTTTCTTCTTTTTCATAGAGTCACTGGAATATGGATGGCTCTGAAGGAACATATCAGGTATTGTTTGAACTGGCGTGGATGATTCTGAACGTTTGGCCTTCTTTTGATTCTCATTTGCTTTCCTTTCCTCAAGACATTCCTGGTACTCTTTTTGATGTTTTGTCTGGAGATGTTTTAGTAAGTTGCTTGTATTCTTACAATATGTTAACTTGCTTTTGCAGATTAGGCAAGCAGCATTCTTGTCATCATCTACTTTATTGAAATATGTCCACACTGAACTTCTGGATCGTTTTGAAGTAGAAGAAGGAGAAGCCATAATGCTCGGGACTACGTTGACTAACAATAATTCTAACTTTCAAATTTTGTTTCTGTCTTTTTAAGTTTAAGTTCTGCTCCTTTTATACAAGCTAGAGAGAGGTGGGATTAGAGTACAATCCAACCAATCAACTGTCTGCATTCTTGTTCCTGACATCACTAACCTTTGACTGTTGTAGGCAGAGGTCTTTGCTGAGTCAGTTTGTGTTTGATGCAGGCAGGTATAGTGTTAAATAACAGCTGTAATGTGTCCAGACTAATTAATAACCACATTTGATTGCAAGCAGAGGTCTTTGCTAAGTTTGCTGCAGCAAGCAAATGCAATAGTAATGAATAATTAATATTAATAACTACTGATTTATTAACTATTATTAATATTAAAGGGTGTGGTTGGGTGTGGCTGAACTCGGAATCGTTTGAAACGATTCCCACTTCTCTTTCGA